AAACGTATATTTGACTTAAATACTAATATATATGTTCAATTACAACAAAATAGTAATTTAGTTTACAGGTAATCAAGTTAACAACTTTTGTTTTAGTGTAGAGACACTCTGACAATACTATTTTAGAGACAGTACAATAGGACTTAATGGACATGTTAATTAATTAATTTTTAAAAATCGTAAAAAGAGTCGAAATAAAAAGTCACGGTCGATTTTGTAATTTATATAAACCTATTTAAAGAAATATACTTCAGTTAACAACTTTTTTTCAGTGTAGAGACATTCTGACAATATTTTAGAGACAGTATAACAGGAATTAATGGACGTGTTAATTAATTAATTTTAAAAAAGTCGTAAAACGAGTCAAAATAAAAAGTTACGGTTGTTTTTGTAATATAATATATATGTAAATATATTCGAAAATATATACTTTAAAGCTATTCAACTGTTAAAGGTTAAAATGGCAAAAGCCTGTATCTATTAACTATTATATTTCTTTCAATTTGTCACGCCACTGTTTCCTCAAATCGATAGTAATCACGTGTTCTCTGCAGCAATAAAATCGCCTCTTTTATTACTTCGTTCATATACCGTAGCACCAAAATGTACATAGGTCGTAAAAACGAAAGTAGAGTTTAAATAATTGAATTTTCCATCCCTTAACGATTTTCCGGAAAACTACGGTATGCTATATCTAATTAGTCCATTTGTTTTATTCGTTATGTGAGAGCTCGGTCTCCATTCATATGCATGTGATGAATTGAAATTCTGAATATATTCGTCGCATGACGAAGAGATACACCGCTGTTGTGGAAGCAGCGAGAAGACTTATTCGTCGCAATTATTTACATGTCATCTACCGACATCCAGAAGTTGTTGTGACAAATAACACGAAATTGAATATAAAATTACAATCCGTCTTTTGTCGACGGTAAGATAAATTCAAACTCCGCATTTTTCGATCACGATGAAAAGTAAAAAAAAATTCTTTTACATCCATTCACGATGGAGAACACGTGGAAGAAACGTCAAAGCAAACGAAAAAATACGCGCGCCATTTTTTATTCCGTCGCTATTTCGGTAATCACGCAAACCCTGTTAACGACTCCGATATGAATTATAACTCGACGATCGTCCACCGTTAGACAAATTTATCGAGTTAAGACGCGCGATGTTTCTCTTTCGAGAGAGCCTAACTGCATGTCGTAAATTAGGCGAAAATGCCTGCGGGCCGCTCTTGCTCTCGCGCAAACACATACACACACACATATATATATATATTGTATGTGTATATATACATAGGTACATATACGTGCGATCCACTTGTGTATGTATATACTGGCCCAAGAGTGCAAACAGGAAAATCGCCCGCACGGGAATTTTCTTCCCAAGAAAGTTGCTTGAAATATAGGATAGGTGGACTTCCTTCAGCTGCACTTTCCCAGCCAGACATTTCGCGTCTATAAAACGAGACATACGCGAGAAAGAGAGCAAAACCGAAGCACTCTGCGAGGGAGGTTTAAGAGAAAAAAAGGTGCAGATATAAATGCATGTAAAGCGTGGAAAAAAATATATCCGTCGTAAAAAATCGAAGACATTATATTGGCTTCAATAGGATCCTTTCTTCCCTGAAGTTATCTATATTAGTTAGTGCTTCGAATATATTTGCAAGAGTGTCATCAGAATGACACTCTCTCTCTCTCCAAGATCGAGAAACCGGCGTATATACCTTAATGAACGTAATTAATTGGAACGGAAAACTCGCGAATAGGAATTTATTCTGTGAAATTGAATTCGAAATTGTCGAAATGATGAATTAGATTGAAAATGTTTGAGTTATTTTCTATCCGCCTCCGCCTCACATCTATACAACTATTAGTTTATTATTTCTCTTGAATGATTAAATATCATCCCTCCTCTCCGTTAATTTCTTCTCAGAAATAAAATGCAAAATTATGCAAGAATTAAGCAATTTGTTTCAATTCGTGTTGCAATTGTTTTGTTCAAGAGATTAATTATATAACTGTTTTAGAAAAATTAAAGTAATAGAATAAAGAGATAGAAAAAATCCCTTAGAGCAAAGAAAGGATTCGAATTAAGTTTCCAATTAATGTTTTGGTTTTAAAGTTTAAGAGGAAGAATCCAGTAACGTACGGAACATTTTCTTACAATTTTTTTCTCTATTTCAACCATCTTTTCCGGGAATTACTTGGCGAAGGAAGTGTATTTCATTCGAAATATACGATAATACGGAATGTCGCAAAGTGCACTTTCGACAATTAAATCCACGTTTCCAACAACAACAGAAGCTATCTCACTCGTATTTTTTATTTGAATTTAATTTTATTTGAATTTAATTTTATTTAAATTTAATTTTATTTGAATGTAATTTTACACAAATGGTACTTTCGTAATAAATGATCACTAAATAAGCTGCTGTAGTAATTATATTTTTAATTATATTCAATTATTTTTAATTCAGAATTATGTAATCGTAATTCGCCAAAAATAAAGCCATCTGTGATTCTAAATTTTATTTATCTTACATAAAGATCGCATCTATCATCGCACAATTTTACGCGCCAGAGAGAGAACCTAAATTTAGCGCTAAATGGATTAGATTGAAGTTTTTGAATCATGATTAATGTTTGTAGGGTTAGCTTATCTGTAGCCTATAAAATAACATGCCAACTCTCGACTCAAGAATCGTAAGTATGAAAATTAACGCCGAGTCAAAGCGTGCAAAATTATCTACATTGTTAAAAAATATTTTTTCTAACAATATTAAATTCGAAGAAAACCAATATCCATTTTACAACATTTTTAATGGATAATTTTTTTAATAAAAAAAATACATTTAAAAAATCTTCGATTTCTACGTATGTTTTTATGGCATTTAGTCATAAATTTTCATTTTATTTATTTTAATATTATTCAATGTAATCTTTATATTAATATGGATGAAATAGCGAATCACTACATTTAATGCTAAATATTCGCGACACGCGTAGAAAATATGAGCGCTCTTGCAATCTGTATAGATAATGATAATTATCCTGTTACAATTATAATCTTATTACAATTGCTAATGCTTTTATAACTCACGCTATAAAAGTTTAAGTATTAAACCTTATCGGTTTCAAGAATCAGTTGCTTCTTGGATCGATTCTGTGCTAAAGAAAATTTAATAAAAACTGCTTATACACATATATTGTGCATTATATAATATTGTAAATGCAAGCTTTCCAGGAACTTGTATTATATCCTATCTGATCTAGTTAAACAAAACTTCGATCATTATTTTTCGTGGAATCTTCATTACATAAATTATTGGAAAAAAATATTTTCTTTCTCTATTGGAGATTGAAATCTCAATCTCAGTACATAATTCTCGGTGTATAATAATTGGCTTAGAAGGCACTTTTTACGAATTAACGTCACAAATGTATCTCAAGCATCTGGTTTATTGATCTGGTTATCTAATTAAGATTCTTATATGATGCACGAGATATATGGCAAAACTTTATTATGAGAATTACAACGCATATTTCAAGTATTAAAATATTATCTAATTTTTTGCGCAGTCTCTCTGGGACAAAGTTATTAAGATTAGTCTTATAGAGCGTCAGAAAAATCTAGCAGCAGAATCATCAGTCTTACGTAAGCCTTACAAACGTCCGTTTTTCCCAAGCACGTCTGACTATTTATTTCCGTTAGTTAAACAAAAGAGAAAAGTCATTGAGCGAGATTAACACGCGCGTGATCCGATAAACACGTCGGAGATTCAATTCATCGAAAAAAATTATATTCTCGAAGTTAGAAGTTGTTTTTCAAATCCTTCTTAACAGGTATTCTCAAGAAATTTTTGCAACATCCTCTCAAATTAAAAATATGTTTTGGTAAGAACAAATAGTCATATATTTTTTTATGCAAACCGTTCATTATTTGGTCTTATATATACAACATGAATTTTCTCTTATAATTTACTCTGAAAATCATGGTAATTGTGTGATAATATGGGTATATTAAAAAACTTTCATAAAAATTTCTCTGATTAATATTTATCACAACAAAAATATTAATATCTACCACAATAAAATATAAAAGATGTTCGATTAATTTTACTATATGTACGTATTAATTTTTTTTATTGTGGCAAATATTAATTAGAAAAAATCTTATAAAATTTTTCTAATACCATATATTGTCTCATAATTACTATGATTTTCAAGGTAAATTCTAAAAGAAAATTCTCTTCATGTATAAGCAAATTAATACAGTAATGTATATGATTATTATTGAATAATTTTAATATATTAAAAGAATGAATAAAGTTAATAAGTAAAGATGATTCGTACAAAAAAAAGAGTCGAACGACTTAAGAAGAGTTTATGAGTAAATAATGTGTAATATAATCTCTCTTTAATTCAGAACTTATAGGTCTCATGCTCGGTTTACACAATATATACCACTTCTATAATTTCTTTAAAATCTTTCTTGCTTGTGTGCTGTGAAATAATGTATTTTTTTAATATAAAAATAAATGCCATTTCTCTACATTTTTTTATAATAATAAGAAACAAATTACGAATATAATCTGATAAATTAAATAATCTTTAGTACATTTCACATTCAAAAAATATCCAAAAATACCCAGACATAGCCACAATAATTATTAACATTATTTTGATGTCAAAATGCCTACTTCTGCTTTCTGGTATAAATCTAAAAAATTTTTAAAAATGAGAATACAATTTTTTCGATCTTCCATGAAGATCGCGAATCCCTCGCGCTAATAAAATAACCTTCGAATTAGCGGCCGTACATAACATATATATGTTTGATACCGATATTCGCACGGTAATTGCACACACACAGACAGAGCCACACCATACACACACACACATATATATATATATATATATATATATACACACAACGTACAGCTTGCTTCTCCATTTGAATAATGTCATCTAGTCAGCAAGGACGTGGGTACTCACCAGGGACGTGCTCTCAGCTGTAGATGCACGATTTCCCGTTCGTTTCTGCGATCTTCGGCCGTTGATGGAGGACGATTGCGAAAGGAAGAAGTGTCTCTTATCGCCACCGAACGCACGGAGATGACAGTTCGAAATACGACGATCGGCTTACGAAGAAGCCCTCCTCGCGTACCGATCGTCGTCCCGGATCGCAACGGATCATCGGGAAATTTTCGCCAATTCTTGCCGATCGATCGTTATGTATTTCGCGCACACTTCAATAATAATTATCAATTCGCGCGAGATGGCACACGAGATCTCCGTGAAACTTTGCGAGGGAAAGTGTATTATACGCTCGAGCCTATAACGAAGCACTTTGCGAAACTTCTATTATTGCCGGAAGACATTCGCGCGAGAGAGAAACCCCTTCGTGTAGAAACTCATCTCTATATAACCTCTCTTTAACCCGCGTTTAGCTAATTTGCGTGTTTATTTAACGCTTCACGAACGTGTAAGATATATATATATATATATATTATATATATATGTCTTGGTCGGGCCGTTTTTACCAGAAACGTGTGTAACACTGCATCTTATTGACGCTTTTCTCCGACGCAGATAAATCGATATATGACTTTGAGATGTTTAAATCGCTACAAGTGTTAATTGCTACTTCGCGGAGAGCGCGACACAACTTACGTGAAGTTGACGGCGTTTCGCGTCATAAATCACTCAGCGCGTTGCCAACACTTATATATTAACAAACTTGCGTAATAGGATTAAAAATGAAAATGAAAACTTTGCAATAGCCGGCATAGTAGCGCTTATTAAAGTAAGCACCACTACTATAGTATAAATGGTAAGAACGATTTAATATGATAAATATAAAAAAACCGAGAAATACAAATCATCGAAACAATATTGAATATAGGAAATTATTTTATATTAACTACTACAATAGCATAAATGGTAAAAACGATTTAATACGATAAATATAAAAAAAAACCGAGAAATACAAATCGTCAAAAAAATATTGAATATAGGAAATAATTTTATATTAACCTACCGTTCGAGAAGCGTATATAAAAAGTTATTCTTCGAAGGGAGGGATCATCTCTCGACGAAGGTGAGAAATAAATAACATCCTTTTCACTCGCGAGAGAATAAAAGTCTCATTATTATCTCGCCTTTTTTCTCTACGTACGCGCAATATTATTATTATTATATGTGCACCGATTATATCCGTCGGCGGACACACGTGGCCGTTGCGCTTCCGCTCTCCTGCGAGATATCGGCGTCGCGCCGATATCCTCGAAGTCGCGTTCTCGCGCTTCGACTGTCCGCTTCGCGCGCTCCCGCGACTCTTCTCCCTCGCGCGCGCGGATTCGTTTGAGGCGAACTTCAGAGGGCGCGTCCGCCCACTCTCCCTCTCTAATCCACGCGCCCTTTTTGACACGCGCGCGGGAATTAAAATAAGCGTAATGTATGTATGTACATCGGATTAATATATCGATATAATCGGGGCGCGCAAAAGTGTGAACGAGAAGAAAAAAACGAGCGCCGATTTTTGCACCCAATAGGTGCGTTTCGACGAAACACGCGGACGCGCAGCTGCTACTAAACTACCGCTCGGGCGCGAACCGAACGTCAACTCTCGAAATGCGCGCGCCGCCGAGAAACTGGCGGCAATGAATAGACGGCTCCCCCGCCGATGACGACGACGGCGACGACGACGATGTCGACGACGACGCCCTCCGCAATCATCAAATAAAACAGTCCCGCAAGATATTGCTGCCCTCCTCATTATTTCTTATTTCCCCTTCTTTTTCCGTCATAAACTTTTCTGAATTCATTTCTTCGCGAGGAAACGATTGAATGCTACGCGAAATTTTATACGATAAAAAAAGCGCGCAAAAACTTTTCACAATTTATTTATTGCACTTGTCTGATTGTTATTGATAGAGACACGCTTTTGTCAGCTTGTTTAATTAGATTTTTTATTGCTGATGTATAGCCGTTCGAAATTATAAATCATAAATATAATTGAAAAAAATGCAACGAGAAGTTAACTTTGCTGTGCAGAAAAAGTGTGAAAACTATTTGGGAAATTTGTCTAATTATATTTTAGCTCACATTGTCAGTATGATTTTATTAAAATATTAATATATATTTGACAATTCCTTTGAGAACATTTATTTGAATTAAATATCTTTAATAAAATTAAATGAGCGGTCTCGACATAATGTCGATGGGATATTCTCTTTTATCTTTATTTGAAAAAGTTCGAATAGCGTTTCTCTTAATAAGGAAAGAATATTTTTCAGAAAAAGCCAGTACATTTACGCTTTGTAAAGAAAAGAAGGGAGACGTAGAAAATGTACCTAAAAGGGAACGCACAATAAAGTAGTTATATAAGAAAAAGTACTGGAAGGTACATTAAAGTTTTGTTTTTCCTAGTCACATTTTCTCTCTTGAATTTTCTTGCGTCTGGTACATTAAAAGCTTGTAATATCTCAAGATTCTTTTCAGATATCGCACGCGTTCCGAAACGGTTCAATATTATGGTTTCGCCGGAAAATAATTAAATGATTTTTAATATAATCCGATATAAAAATAAAGTGTCACTGACGTAAGTGCGAGACGACAAAAATAAAACGAATCTATATTTTTTATAAAACGGAAATACAAAAAAAAAGATAAATCTTATATATAAAATAGTATAATTTATTTCTTTTTTTATACAAATAAAACAAAGTGGCCAAAATTATATACTCACATTATGTGTGTGTCGTCCGCAGTTGGGTACACATATATTAAGTATCATCTCGAAATGTCAGTCGAAGATAAATCGAAGTGCGCACGTGGGCAAACACAATTTGTCCGTTGTGATGTAAATCGAACTAATAAAACAAATTATATAGAGGAATTAGCTATATAAGTAGCGGATAAAATTACTTCTCGCAATCAGCTTTGCGGCCGAGCATTTACGTGATTAATTAATGATTAATAATACAAATATGAATGTGGTGCGCATACGCGTTTTTGACCGTCTCTTCGAACTCTCGATAAACTTCTTACAAAGTATTCTACATTGCCGATTATTAATTAACATTACTGATTGCTTTTGACATTGTCGACTACTAATATAATGCAAATTCATGCTTCGTCGTCGAGAAGTTCCTGACATAAATTTGGAAATCCTGACATACGTGCTTTCTATTTCCATGAATTATTAATTAATTGCAAATTAGTAGTCCGTAATTCGCTTATGAATAATTTACAGGCATATATGTATATAACATGCAATGAATTATTACATTAATATACATTAAGAATAAGTTATTGAATTAATTACATTAATAATAAAATGATAAAGAATTATTAAATAATAAATGTGCATATTACTTGTATACATTTAATAAAAAGAAGTTCTACTGTTACAATTTGTACAGAAGGTTAGTGAATATATTTATGAGTAAAACGACTTATGTATGTATATGTATATTATGTATATTTATACTTGACTATTTTTTTTAATTAAATAAGTTATATTTTAAGCTTAATTCAATCGTGCAAAAATAATTTTTTTGATGATTGGGATAAGATGCCAAGATTCAATCATCCATACATGATATATTATTGAAGACATATCGCCTTTGATCTATTACATATAATATAAATAAAAATTAGAGCATGGTTTCTATTTTATTTGTTATTTGCACGTATACATCTTTTTTTATTTTTATACGTTTGGGTATATTTTCAGTAATATAAAGAAATTTTCACATGCACCGAAAATAAGTTAGGAGTTCATATTTTTTGATAAACCATAGCTCAAACAATTGCTCCTTTATTACTCTATCAGATTGCGATTGCTCCTTTTTAAAAATATTTTTTAATATATACAAAAAACGTAAAATTTATAATTTTTACTGATAAACATTTCTAATAGTTTTCTGCAACTACATGTAGCATAAAACGAACGCTCCTTATTGTAATTGCTCCTTATTGCTCCATTATTTTCTTTAATGGCATTTTGTATTAAAAATTAAAAAGTTAATTATTTGATAAGTGACGACATCTCCATTTAACGACTGTCTATCAGAACTAAAGTGCTCAACAGCTAATGGCGGGAATATTCAAACACGCATAGCAATAATTCTATTATTCATAACTATATCTTGAAGAGTGTACTCAACATGTCTTATAAATTCTTCGGTAGAATGATTTCTTCTCGTTTTCTTTATTAGAAAATTAAATTGCTTTATTTGAATATTCATTCCTTCAAGATAAATTCACAAAATACTAATCATTTTCGTATCAAATGCTATGACAGATATTCCCACTGACATCATCGTCCATGTCTTATCGAAGTAATATTATACGTTGATAACGCAAGATTTAGTACAGCCATAAAATGAATTTTACCCATATTAAATGTCTCTTCAAAAATATCGTTCTGAAAATATAATGATACTCTTTGTTAAACTACGCGAAGTCGTATTTTACATACATGTTCCACTATCTCATAACAAATTGATAAGTATCGAATAGAATGAAAACAAATGTCACCTTCAAATTTTATCTGGAACATTTCCAGAAAAGTTAACATTCTCAGCCTCTTCAAGATGTCGCATATTAGCTATACTTCTTTATCATTATAAGATCTTACAAATATTAACGATCAATTCATCTCATATCACAATAAAGAATGTATATAAAAAAGAGATTATTTTTATGCGAATCTCTTGAGAGACATGTATCTTCGTTGCATTAATGCATCAGATATCGTATGCATGTGTACAAAAATTTTTATCAGAACTTTGATGGAAATATATCATTCTATAGACATAATAAATTGATAATGTAATGATACACTTATCTACGACAAATATACAACGGGTATAAAAACGAAAAAACTGTCTCCGGCCCTGTTATTTCTGTTCAATAGCAAGCAGCATTTAGTTTAACAAAGCAGATTCACCAATCAAGAGATGCTATGCGGTCATTTGATTGGTTGAACGAGGTCTTCAAATGATTATATGATAAATATAAGAACCAACTGTGAATACCAGCCAGAATGTCTAATACCGCCGTACAGATAAAACCGTGTGAAACAAAGCATGTTACCGATGTTGTCGAGAATACTAACAGCATATACAAATTGTTCTCGTTCGAAGAAGTAAAAGAAGTAACGAATCGCGCGTTGAACGACGACGCCACTGTGGTAGAATATGCTCTTCAACCATATTCCGAAGGCAAGCTCGGATATCTCAGCTCTCATTACCGCCTGGACGTACGCGCCTCGACGAAGAAAGAAGAGACCGTCTCTCTCACGTTCTTCCTCAAGACTATACCTTTCGAAGTACCCGAACAAGCTGATTACGCGGCAGAGAAAGGTGTCTTCGAGAAAGAGGCCAAGTTTTACGGTGTTATAATGCCGTTGCTTCGCGAGGGATTCCGCGAAAAGCCATGGTCGCCCATGTGTTACAAGGTGACAAACAACTATATAGCATTCGAGGATCTAGGTGGCGAGGGTTATTCGACGCGAGACAAGCTCTTTGACGAGACGCTGGTGCGCGCGGGTTTAAATAGCCTCGCAAGATTACACGCGGCCTCTTTGTTGGCAGAGGCGCGTCTCGATGTACCCTTTAATCAATTACACCCTGACGCTTTTACGGAGAAAGCCTTCGATCGCGAGGGGCTGACGCGAAAGTGGATGGAAGTGGGCTTCGAGCTGGCCGTGGTCATAGCCAAACGTCATGGATTCGACCCTCATCTGGTACGCGTGGCTTGCGAACGAATATATGACATTACGGAGCCGTCGAGCACCAAGATGAACGTGGTCAGTCACGGAGATCTTTGGGGCAACAATCTTATGTTCAATAACGACGTGCCGCCCAATTGTTTGCTGGTGGATTATCAATTACTGAGGTACACTCCGATGGCGCATGACATCGCGCAGTTCCTGTATCTGTGCACGGATCGTAGTTTCCGAGAGACACGGGAGAACGCGATGCTGAGGTACTATTACGAGACGCTATGTGAGATCCTGGACGATCATGGGGCGGTTCGAAGACCCTGCTGGTCAGAGATAGTCCAGGGTATGGAGGAGCAACGTTTGGGAGCCCTTATTACCGCGGTACTCCTCTTCCCTACTATTTTGATGGATGAGAGTCTCGGCATGGAAATTATGGGTGATTCGGAGACCTACGCCAAGATCTGGTTTGAAGACAGGACGGAATTCGTCTTGTCGAACATAAAGAAAGACTCGATCTACGAGAGAAGGATCACAGAAGCCGTCGTCGAACTGGCCGAGCTTGCTTCGCGACTAGATCAATTACCGAAACCATCTTAAAAATCAGACGCGTACAATTGATGAGTATCAATTCTCTCATGTATATTCTAAATTTTTTCATTTCGTCGAGAAGCTTTGTAGGATTATATTATAATTAACGAAAGACATTTGTTTCGAACATTGATAAGTTTATGATGTCGTAACACTATGATGATCTTCATATGAATCAGTGGACGATATGTTGTCTTGGTCAGGAAATACAGTAGATAGGAAGGATCAGTCGTGAATGATGAGTTATACGCTTGATTCGTCAAAATTCTTCTTTCGGTGTAGCTGCACGTTTTGTCGGCCGTGATACCTCATCGTTATCACTTAAATCCGAGAGACCGTCTCGCTCTGAATTGTCATCATTGTCTCTGAAAAATTAGGACAAGATTAACATATGACGGTGTGTGTAAACATTTAAATACGATAAGGATTTGCAGTTGAGTTAATTCTATATACCTAAAGCTTTCAACGTAACAATTCTTGTCAACGACGAGATGAATGACGAGCACAGCAATTTCATCAGCAGCAAAGTGTAAGCCGATACGCTGAGCAACTGGAAAAAAGAAAAAAATAATAATTAAATTTGTATAACTTGTAATTTATATGTAATATTGATTTAATTTTTTCTGCAGAATTATAAGTTGAAGAAGAAACTTTTCGTATTTTGATAGAAGTCGGTAACCGATTAGAATAGACAATCGGCTAATTAATTTTAAGACTGACGCGACACATCTCCCAATAAAAATTTGTGCAATTCCCGTAATCTTCTACTTCAGATCTAGGTTGATCCGTCTCTGTCGCAACCCACACGAATATTCTCCGTAATGTGTACGTTTTAGTGACAAACGAATAAATTATATATTATCATAACAAAGGCACGAAATATTTAAGAGGATGAGTTGAAAATGATTAAAATAATAAAATTACTTTTGCTTTTTTTTAGAAAAAGATAGCTAATTTTCTAAATACATTATGAAGCTATATAAAATGATTTTAAACATGTATAAATGTTTAAACAATGTACTAAACAATTTTGAACGCTAAAACGTCAAAGTTTTGGGAGAAATTTTATATTTTTTAATTTATTTTTTTATAGAAATTATTGGTCCAATTATCATTTTTTAAATCGATTCAAAAATAAAGTATGATTTAATTAGTTCGGTTTAAAAAGTTGTAATTTTATCAAAAGTTATGAACAAGTCAAACTGTATCAAACTATATTAAATTAACATTTAGTAATAATCTCTGTAAAAAATTTGATCAAAATGAAAAAAATGTCTATGTTAACTTAATATTAAAAAAAGAAATATATAGGTAGTAATTTTGTCGTGATTTGGACGCAGTTATGTTTTTTATTTTGTCGCGGTGTAAAAATGATACGTCAAGATTTATAATTGCGGTCAAGAATTTTCATTCGAGTGAGGAAATATAAGACTACCAAAATTACACTGTGGAATTACTATATTTCTTTTATCAGCACAAGAGTACTCCACGTAAACACTTCTTATTTTACCTATTATGTGATAATTATATCGTTGATGAGTCTGGAGCGTATATTTTTTGACGTTTCTCACTTTTTAGGATGACGTGAGTGCGAGATAATGACTTCGGTCAATTTTCAAGGAACCGTACGAGAGATATAATCGCGAGAAATTGCGAAAACGACAGAGAGACGTGTCGGAGAGTGTAGTTTATTATCGTTTTTACGAGCATGAAATCCACTCCTATTCCTTAAAGAAGAGGTTCACTGGAGCACTTGTGCGTTAACAATACGTTGGAAAAGAAGATATCTCGCTCGCTACTTTTGGTGCGAAAATGTTATTTTTCGCGCGAAAGGAAGAAAATAATTACAATCTATATTTAATGCGAATGATTACTTGAATAATATATTATGAGTCTTACGTCATAAGTCTCTGCGTCATGAAAGACGTCACATATAGTAATGTATGTGCATTTATATAACATTTGCGGAAATACGTCTATGTGTTACAATTAGCATGAAAAAATCCTGTATGTACTAAAATTAGAATAGAGAGAAAATAATAAAATATAGTAAGAACTTTGTGAAATAGAGTCACTTTGAGTATTTTTAAATTATTTCAATTTTTTCAATAATGTTTTGCGTGATCTCAACAAATTTAAAGTCGTTGATCAAGTCAATAAAAATGTTCAAACCTATGTCTGAATGATTACAAAAGAAAAATAAGAGATTATATTCAAATTTAACTTTTCTATGAATATGTGCTTTCAAAATACATTGTTTATTTACAGAAAAAAAGAACAGGAGACACAGGAAGATTATTAAATAAAATGTATCTATATAAAATACTTTATATAAAACATGTGCTTTAATTACAAACAAAAGATTATTTAAAATTAATTTATACAAATACTTATACAAATAATAAGGAAGACCATCTACTTAATATTTACGTAAAATACTACTAATTAGTATATTAAAAATCTTGTCATTTAATATTTTCTCAATATCGAACAGGAAGTTTTAATTAAGGTGAAAACGTATCCTCTTTCGCACATCTTCTGCGTTACAGATCAAAAAGAATTCAACGATCCTGTCTGTTCATGGTCATCGCGCATTCAAGGTGTACTTGAAATCAGGACGGTATACCCAGTATATCTTGTTATCATCTTCTTGTTATCATTGGATGAATAGGGACCGAAAGTTGCCTTTAAAACGCGTCCTCCGATAGCAGCGGAATAACACCGCACGTAACTAAGTTCAATAAATTTCTCGGCACGATGAGATATTTCACGATGAGTTTATTTTCGAAACGAATTAATAATAATTATTTGACACGATAAATCCGTCCATTACATCGAGCGACCTGCATTCGTTCCTTATCTGCCTTTTCCAATAGCGAGCCGGCTCTTTCGCTTCGTTCAAAGTCGGGCCAACTTTCTGCCCGCGAAGAAAAAACAAAGACGACTGATAACATTTATCGTTGCAAAACGTTAAAATCTATACTTAAGAATACACTATCACAATCTAAACTTAAAAATAAACAATGAGCAGGTGCTCCACAGCGCGCCAAAGCTACAGAGATACGTCCTCATATACGACTATTTGCCCTTCTTATCGCGCGCGTGGGAATTAAATAAACGTAATATATCGAAATAAGCGATATAATCGAGGCGCGCAAAAGTGTAAATAAGAAAAAAAGCGAGCGCCGATTTCTGTATCCAAAAGTATTTCGGTGAAACACGCGGACGCGCAGCTGCTACTAAACTCCCGCTCGGACGCGAATCGAACTCAACTCTCGAATCTCGAAGTGCGCGCGCCGCCGAGAAACTGAATGGACAACTCCCGCGCCGATGACGACGACAACCCCCGTAAACGCCAAATAAAACAGTCCCGTAAGATTGCTACCTTTCTTATTTTCTCCTGCCTTCCCAATCCCATAAACTTTTCTCGATTAATTTATTCGCGAGAAAACGATTGTTGAATGCTACGCGAAATTTATACGATGTAAAAAAGCGCGCGAAAACTTTAACATTTTCTTTGCACTTGTCTGATTATTACTGATAGAGATGAGACGCGCTTTTACAATTCATTAATTTGTTTAATTATATAATATTTTATATTGGTGATCTGTAGCTGTTCAGTATTGCTTGATTATAAATCACTAGTAATATAATTAAAACGAAAAAAACGCAACGAGAAATTAACTTTGATGTGCACAAAAAAATGTGAGAATTATTTGGGGAATTTATTTTATTATATTTTAGCTCAGTATAATTTTATTATAGATATTAATATATATTTGACAATTCCTTTGAGAACATTTATTTGAATATCTCTAATAAAATTAAATGAGCGTTTTCGACATAATGTAGATGGGATATTCTCTTTTATCTTTATTTGAAAAAGTACGAATAGCGTTTCTCTTAATAAGGAAAGAATATTTTTCAGAAAAAGCCAGTACATTTACGCTTTGTAAAGAAAAGAAGGGAGACGTAGAAAATGTACCTAAAAGGGAACGCACAATAAAGTAGTAATATAAGAAAAAGTACTGGAAGGTATATTAAAGTTTTGTTTTTCCTAGTCACATTTTCTCTTTTGAATTTTCTTGCGTCTGGTCCATTAAAAGCTTGTAATATCTCAAGATTCTTTTCAGATATCGCACGCGTTCCGAAACGGTTCAATATTATGGTTTCGCCGAAAAAAAATTTAAATAATGTTTAACATAATCCGAGATAAAAATAAGGTGTCACTGACGTAAGCGCGAGACGACAAAAATAAAACGAATCTATATTTTTCTATAAAACAGAAATACAAGAAAACAACGACAAAATAAATCGTATACATATGTATATATAAAATAGTATAATTTATTTCTTCTTTTTATATGAATAAAACGAAGTGGCCAAAATTATACTTATATTATTTGTGTGCCTCATTCGAACTTGGGTATACATATATCAAGTATCGTCTCGAAATGTCAATCAAAGATAAATCGAAATGCGCAGGTGAGTAAACACAATTTGTCTTTGATCTATTAGATATTCGACATAAATAAAAATTAAAACAGGTTTCTATTTTATTTTTCGTTTGCACATATACATCTTTCTTTTTGTACGTCTGTATATAATTTCAGTAAAAGATAATATAAGGAAATTTTGATCAAATTCTATGACAGATGTTTGCACTGACATCATCGTCCATGTCTTATCGAAGTAATACGTTGACAACGCAAAATTTAGTATAGTCATAAATGAATTTTAAACTGCACGAAGTCGTATTTTACACGCATCTTCCACTATCTGATAATATTTGTTAATATTAACAAATTGATAAGTGCTGTATAAGACAACTTATGTCTCTTTTAATTGTCTCATCAACCTTTTCATGGAAGTTAACATTCTCTTCGATATATACTATATTAACTATTTCTTTATCATTATAAAATCTCATAAATATAAACCATCTTGTTTATCACAATTAAAAATATATAAAAAGCAAATTATTTTCCGCGAATGTCTCTCATTGTCAGAAACATGTAGCTGCATTATTGCATCAGATGTCGTATGCGTGTACAAAAATTTTTATCAGACCTTTGAAAAAATATGCCGTGCTACAGACATGTGACGAGATCAGTTAATAAATTGATAATGTGATGATATACTTACTGTCGACAAATATACGACGGGTATAAAGACGAAGAAATTATCTCAGGCCCCGTTATTTCTATTCAATAGCAAACGGCATTTAGTTTAACAAAGCAGAATGTCTAATACCGCCGTACAGATAAAACCGTGTGAAACAAAGCATATTACCGATGTTCCCGCAGTCAAGAGTAATAATACAAGCATATACAAATTGTGTTCGTTCGAAGAAGTAAAAGAAATAACAAAACATGCGTTAAACGACGATGCCACTGTGGTAGAATATATTATGCGACCGTATTCCGATGGAAAAATCGGATTTCTCAGCTCTCATTATCGCCTGGACGTACACACCTCGACAAAGAAAAAAGAAACCATCGCGTTCTTCCTCAAGACTATACCCTTCGAAGTACCCGTGCAAGCCGATTACGTGGCAAAGAAGGGTGTCTTCGAGAAAGAGGCCAAGTTTTACGGTGTTATAATGCCGTTGCTTCGCGAGGGATTCCGCAGAAAGCCATGGTCGCCCATGTGTTACAAGGTGACAAACAACTATATAGCATTCGAGGATCTAGGTGGCGAGGGTTATTCGACGCGAGACAAGCTCTTCGACGAGACGCTGGTGCGCGCGGGTTTAAATAGCCTCGCAAGATTACACGCGGCCTCTTTGTTGGCAGAAGCGCGTCTCGATGTACCCTTTAATCAATTACACCCTGACGCTTTTACGGAGAAAGCCTTCGATCGCGAGGGGCTGACGCGAAAGTGGATGGAAGTGGGCTTCGAGCTGGCCGTGGTCATAGCCAAACGTCATGGATTCGACCCTCATCTGGTACGCGTGGCTTGCGAACGAATATATGACATTACGGAGCCGTCGAGCACCAAGATGAACGTGGTCAGTCACGGAGATCTTTGGGGCAACAATCTTATGTTCAATAACGACGTGCCGCCCAATTGTTTGCTGGTGGATTATCAACTACTGAGGTACACTCCGATGGCGCACGACATCGCGCAGTTCCTGTATCTGTGCACGGATCGTAGTTTCCGAGAGACGCGGGAGAACGCGATGCTGAAGCACTATTACAAGACGCTGTGCGAGATCCTGGACGCTCATGGGGCGGTGCAAAAACCCTGCTGGTCAGAGATAGTCCAGGGTATGGAGGAGCAACGTGTGTCCGCTCTTATTACCGCGGTACTTTACTTTCCTACTATTTTGATGGATGAGAGTCTAGGCGCGGAAATTTTGGGTGATTCGGAGTCCTACACCAAGTACTGTTTTGAAGATAGAACGGAGTTCGTCTTGTCAAACATGAAGAAAGACTTAGTCTACGGGAGAAGGATCACAGAAGCCGTCATCGAACTGGCCGAGCTCGCTTCGAAAGTAGATCAATTACCAAAACCGTCTTAAAAATCAGGCACGTAGTGTACAATTGATACTTTCATACATATTATAAATCTTTTAATTTCGTCGAAACGCTTTGTAAAATTATATATATTGTATTAACAGAAGATCATGTAGCACAAATTTAATTATATTATTTTGCAATCAAGCAGCGTGTAATTATAAGTTTGATATAGTTTTTATTATTGTTGTTAAAACTATTTCTATACGTATATTTTGTAATCTCAGTAATTAAGGACTATTACTGAACTTTGTTTTAACTTTAAATTATAATTATAGATTAATAAGAACAAACATTATTATTACTGTATGTACTGTTAAACTTTTGAAAATGCCGCTCATTCAGGTCGAACGAGAAGTCAGGCCGAGCTGTAAGATTATTTGAGGAAATTTACTAACACACTAGAACAAAAAGCAAAAGGGCTTTTATTTTTGATGAGTTAGTTTGAAAGTAGCAACGGCTATCAGCTGGAGGAAACGTTCAGGGGGACGACCGCGTTAACGTAGAGGTCCACAGCTTCTGTAGATATAAGCTAGTCAGCTGTACATACATCATTCATGGCATTCAAAAATAAAGAGCATATTTGTGATAAAAGATAAAAATCGTTAGTTTGTCCCTTTCCTAACATCCCTCATTAGATTCCCGCACGTCGGTATGGAACACCATCGTCAGGACGTACAAGTTCTAAATATCCTCTAGTGTTTAAATAATCTCTAGTAAAAAGTTTACAATCTTTTCTTCTCCACTCCATCCTCGTTATCTCAATCATTACCCCGCTTTCCCTTCCTCTCCCTCACTCATCCCTTACTTCCTGTCATCTGACAACCGAGTTGTCACACTTTATTCTTTTATTGAAAATTCGAGCAAAAGTTGTTTGTCATCTCACTGATAGCCACCTTGCTTATGGTAAAAGCATGTATACAAGATGAACGCAAGGTGAACCATTACGCACGAAGAGAGAGAGGGTAGTTTCTTCCAAACAATAAACATCGTGCGTTTTTGCTTTAAACACGGCTTTTACTGGTCGGATCGTCCTAGGCTACTGCGCATCCCCGGAATGGTTCACTTTGAATACTTCAATCATGACCTTGCTCTCTTATTCGACGGATATAAACACAAAGAAATTGTTACACGCGTGTTATTTATTTTATTCAGTAGCAAACGGAATTTAGTTTAACGAGAGAAAAATGTCTAATACCGCTGCACAGATAAACGAGTGTCTAGAAACAAATATTGACGTCGCAGACGAAAGTAATAAGAAAAGCATATCCAAATTCTTTTCGTTCGAAGAAGTGAAAGAAGTAACAAAATGCGCATTGAACGACGATGCCGTTGTAACGGAATATGCTATTCAACCGTATTCCGATGGTAAACTTGACCGTTTCAGGTCTCATTATCGGCTGGATGTACGCGCCTCGACGAAGAAAGAAGAGACCGTCGGTCTCTCATTCCTCCTCAAGACTATACCTTTCGAAGAATCCGAGCAAATCGATTACTCGGTACAGAATGGTGACTTCAAATGCGAGACCAAGTTTTACGGTGTCATAATGCCGTTACTTCGCGAGGGATTTCGCGAAAAGCCATGGTCGCCAATGTGTTATAAGGTAACGAACAACTATATGGTTCTACAGGATCTATGTCGCGAGGATTACTCGACGCGAGATAAGCTCTTCGACGAGACGCTGGTGCGCGCAGGCTTAAACACTATCGCACGATTACACGCGGCCTCTTTGTTGGCAGATGCGCGTCTCGATGTACCCTTCAATCAATTACACCCTGACGCTTTTACGAACAAACGCTTCGATCGCGAGAGGCTGCCGCGGAAGTTGGTGGAAGTGAGCTCCGAGCTGCCGCGGTCATAGCCGAACGTCATGGATTCGACCCTTATCTGGTACGCATGGCTTGCGAACAAATATATGATATTATGGAGCCGTCGAGCACCAAGATGAACGTGATCAGTCACGAGAATCTCTGGAGCGACAATTTTATGTTCAATAACGACGTGCCGCCCAATTGTTTGTTGGTGAATTATCAAACACTGAGGTACACTCCGGTAGCGCACGACATCGCACTGTTCCTGTATCTGTGCACGAATCGTAGTTTCCGAGAGACGCGGGAGACCGCGATGCTGAGACACTATTACAAGACGCTGTGCGAGATCCTGGACGCTCATGGGGCGGTGCGTAAACCCTGCTGGTCAGAGATAATTCAGGGTATGGAGGAACAACGTTTGGGCGCTCTTATTAGCGCTGTACTTATCTTTCCTACTGCCTTAATGGATAAGAAGTACTTAATTGACGAGAATCTCGACGCGGAAGTATTGGGTAATTCGCCGTCCCCCATGGACCTTCAAGACTGGACGGAATCGGTCTTGTCGATAATGGAGGAAGACTCGGTCTACGAAAGAAGAATCACTGAAACCGTCGTCGAACTGGCCGAGCTCGCTTTGCGATTAGATCAATTACCGAAACCGACTTAAAAATCAGACATGTAACATAAAATTAATACTCTCATGCATATTCTAAATTTTTTCGTTTCGTCAAAACGCTTTTTATAGGATTATATATAATTAATAAAAGACATACTTGTGTCAAAAATTGATCAGTTTATGATGTAGAAATATAACGATTTTCGTATAAATCAGTGAACGATGTTGTCTTGTTCGGGAAATATAGCAGATAGGAAGGACCAGTCGTGACTGATGAGTTGTACACTTGATTCGTCGGAATCCTCGTTTTCATTGATCGGTGTAACTGCGGGTTTTGTCGGCCGTGATACCTCATCGTTATCACTTAAATCCGAGAGATTGTCTCGAACTGAATTGTCATCACTGTCTCTGAAAAATTACGAGAAGGTTAATATATATGACAGTGCACGTAAGCGTTTAAGTACAATAACTTTAATTTGCAGTCGAATCAATTCTATATACCTAAAGCTTTCGGAGTTTCGTAAACGGTTTCTTAACGATTGTTGCCCCGTCAACGACAAGATAAATGACGAACACAGCAATTTTATCGGCGGCAAAGTGTGAGCCGATACGCTGAGCAACTGAAAAAAAAGAAAAGAGATAATAATTAAAATGTATAACTTATAAGTTGTATGTAGATATTGATTTAATTTTTTCTTCAAAATTATAAGTTGAAGAAAAAAACTTGATATTTTGTTAGAGGTCGGTAACCGTTTCGAATAGACAATCGGCTAATTAATTTTAAGGCTGACGCGACACACCTCCCAATGAAAATTTGTGCAATTCCCGTAATCTTCTACTTCAGATCTAGGTTGATCCGTCTCTGTCGCAACCCACACGAATATTCTCCATAATGTGTATGTCTTAGCGACAAACGAATTTATTATTGTACCATAGCTAAGGCACGAAATATTTAAGAGGGCGAATTAAAATTTATTAAGATAAAATTATTTTTACTTTTTCTTTTAAGAAGAAGAAAGTGGATTATTTTCTGAATACATTTTGAGTTATATAAAAATGAATATGTATAAATGTTTAAGTTTTTTAATATATACATTAAAACGTTAACGTTTTTAGAAAAATTCTTCATATTTTTTCATCTTTATTTTTATCTTTTTTTAACCATTCAATTATATTTTAAATCGATTAAAAAATATATAAAATGATTTAAATAATAGGATTTAAACGCTCGGTTAAAAAAAATTGTGCTTTATCAAATGTTACGAACATTCAAACTATCAAATATAAATATCAAATAATGTTAACTTAATATTCAGTAAATGTCTCTGTAAAAAGTGTCAACGATCAAAATAAAAAACAGTTATGTTAACGTATGTTAATGGTATATGTAAACTCAATATTGATAAAAAAAATATAAAGATAGGTTTTGTTATGATTTCGATGCATTTGCTTTTTTAATTTTGTCATGGCATAAAAATAACATTAAGATTTATAATTGTCATCAAGAATTTCCATTCGAATGAGGAAGTATAAGACTGGCAAAATTACACATTGTATAATTACCATGTCTGTTTTATCAATACAAGAGTAATCCACGTAACCATCTCCTATTCCATCTCTTATATGATAATTATATTGTTGACGAGTTTGGGTCGTGTATTTTTTGACGTTTCTCATTTTTTAGGATGACGCGAGTGCGAAGTAATGACTTCGATCAATTTCAAGGAACCGTATGACGACAATATGATCGCGAAATTGCGAAAAACGACCACGAGACGTGTCGGAGAGTGTAGTTTATTATCATTACAATCGAGACAATTACCAGAAACACGCATAAAGCCTGGCCTTTCCTTACGCCTCTATTCTCTTAGTAAAGCGGTCATTACGGGAGCACTTGTGCGTTAACAATACGTTAAACGCTGGAAAAGGAGATATCCCGCTCGCTATTTTTGGCGCGAAAATGTTATTTTTAGCGCGATAGGAAGAAAACAGTCTCTCACAATCTATATTTAATGCAATTAATTACTTGAATAATTATAATTGAATCTTACGTCTTAAGTCGCTGCGTCTTGAAAGACGTCACACAATAATGTCTGTGCATGTAAATAATATTCGCGGAAATACCTATTATACGTGCTACAATTAGAATGAAAACATCCTGTATGTAGTAAAATTAGAATGGAGAGAGAATGATAAAGTAAAAACTTTGTGAAATAAAATACAGGTATCGAAAAGTTTTAATTGTCGTTAAAAAAATAAAAATTAAAGAGATCTCGATAAAATATCGGTAACAATATATCAGATCGAGACAGATTGATCTAAATTTTGCGTTCCATACCGGTGTGACACTTTATTAGCAGGTGTCAATGGCAACAATCGAGACGGTCGTCGAAGAAGATAAGACATTGTTCCTGCTGGCCTGGTTTTACGTTTGCGAGCAATCCGAGACAATTCTGCGACGACGTTTGTTGTTTTTATGTTGCGAAAAGGTTTCTATATTTTGAGCCAAAAACAAGATATGGAGTTTATTTTTGTAATGTTCTTTCTTATCAAAGTGATATTTTTCGTGATGAGATTAACTTTTATCTACATGGAGTCGCTTTGAGTATTTTTAAATTATTTCAATCTCTTCAATAAGATTTTGCGTGATGTCAACAAATTTGAAGTCGTGACCAAGTCAGTAGAAATGTTCAAGCCTAAAAAATAATTTTAAAAAATAAAAAAAATTAACTTGATAGGAAGACACTCACTTAATATGTATATCAAATACTACTCTTATTGTACCGATCTTGTTATTAAATATTTTCCTAATACAAACAGGATCCGATGCTTTAATTAAAGTGAAAACGCATCCATCTCCTACATCTCCTGTGTTACCAAAACGAATTCAACGATCCTACTCGCTCATGGTCAATGGTGCATTCAAGGACGTGTACTTGAAATCAGGACGGTATACCCTGTATACCTTGTTTTCATCGAGGATGAATAGGGACTGAAAGTTCCCTTTAAAACGCGTTCTCCGATAGCAGCGGAATAGCACCACACGTTACGTCCCCGCGTGCAACTAATTTCAATAAATTCCTCGGCACGGTGAGATATTTTACGATGAGTTTATTTTCGAAACGGATTAATTATTCGACACGATGAATCCGTCCGTTACATCGAGCGACCGGCATTCGTTCCTTATCTGCCTTTTCCAATAGCGAGCCACTCTCTCGCTCCGTTCAATTTGTCGGGCCAACTTTCCGCCCACGCGAAGAAAAGGCAAAGACGACTGATAACATTCATCGTCGCAAAACGTTAAAATCTATACACATATAAGAATACACAATGAACAGGTGTTCCACTGCGCGCCGAAGCGACAGAGATATAGTTTGCGAGATACAGCTCTGTGAAGCGAGAGGCATAGGATTTTCAGCGAAGTTTGCTGACTGTTGTCCAGTGGTCCTAAAGGGACGACAACTAGAACGTTGTGAGAGGGTGGGAGTTTCTATATTAAATCATGGCGAGACTTCTGCTGAAAGCCAGTCGCCCGCGGAGCGTTGAAACACACGTGGAGGGTCCTCCTGCCGTTTCTCGACCATTTCGCCAACTATATCGTTTTCTGCGTTTCAGTTGTTCAAGCATATCTGATATCTGAAATTGTGTTGGTTCATCAATCTTGTCGTTCGTGTTGACAGAAGTCAGGTAGCATCGCTAATACAGTTCTGTGGAAAATTATGACAAAGAAATTTGGATTAAAATTCGCACATTTGCTTGTTGAAGGAGACGGCTATTCGAGAAGAATTTGAAGAAAAAAAATCGACTTAGGAGAAGTTGGGAAAGAGATCCAGAACCGGGACCTCCTAAACATCTCGCTAGAAAATAGTCGGGTTCTTGAAGATGAAGCTGACTGGATTGAGATTGGTGTCGTACTTGTTTACAACGATATTACTCGTGACGGCTGTTTTCGGATATCCCGCTAGTAACAGCGAGGCAGTAAGTACTGCAGCGCAATATTTCATCGCATTAAACGGGAGCTGATGTCGAAAAGAATGCGAAAATTTGTGATGAGTTCTTGAGACAATTTTCGCTTCAGCATTCAAAGGCTGATGACGTATGATTCTTCACCGAGACCAATTAGAAGAAATGCGACTTTCATATTTTTCTCTATTGCGGACACGTGGGATGTACATTATAATGTCGAAAGTATGATTGGACGTTGGTCGTTGAACGTCCCTCGTTAAACCAATCTTTATTTGCCGGAGAGCGCGATGGTGCATTTAATCATATTGAGCCCCGTAGGTGGGACGTGATCTTGTAAACAGGAAGACTTTTAGTCCAGACTCTTGACCTTTTCAAAAGCCGGCTCGACCTGATTTCGATTAATGCAACTGGTTGTCATTTATATTTCGTTGTTTTACGGTCAGATACGGGCTACTTTTTTCCCTGCCTCTTTTTATATTTCTTAGCAAAGTTTTCTTACGCCGCGGTAACTTTTTCATTTCGCTCGTTGTCAAGTAATTCTTATAATTCTGTTTAAGCTGTACAATTTGCAGGCGATCGAGAACATGAGGCAAATTCCGCAGTGGCATTGTCTGCGTTATAGAAAGTTTGATTTTGTACGCCGCTGTCGGAATTATCGTATAGGAAGGAGGCACTGACAAATGGACATTCAATATGATCCACGATTGACAGCCGCGATGTTTTACGCCAAACTTGGTCGTCCTGTCCCGCAGAACACAATACAAGTCCTTAAGTTGAATAAGCTTAAGATTACTTAAATTATATACATATTTTTAGATTATACATGACACATTGATATATGTGTATTCATGAAAAGAAACAAAAATAGCTTACTTTCGAATTTTGTTCAATTGAGAAAAAGTTGCATCATTAAGTGCAATTGACGATCATGACAAATAATATCGTGCTCTTTGTCATTTAATTTTTGCATTGAGAAATCTTCATCTTTATTTATTTATAACTTCAGAATTTTCATAAAGTATAGAAAAACTAACAATTTATGCATAGTTTGGAATGGACAAATCTGTGCATTTCAAACTATGCATAAATTGTTAGAAATGGAAACAATATTTTTTATCTCTTAAAAATATTTATAAATATTTATTTACACGAATTGTTATTTCATGTCATTTGTCAAATATCATTTTTTACATTTACTTTAGCATTTATTTTAATCTGCAAAATTTATTTTGCAAATTATATCCGTCTATTTACTTAATGTAAGCTTGATCTCAATTAAAATGAAATTTTCCTTTTATTATCAACAAATAATAACTATTTTTGTTGCATTATTGATGATATTGGCATATCATGCTGTGCAGAAATATCGCTACGATATAAATAAATATGAAAAGAACGTAGTAAGAATTCTACAAGTCGCGGATATTTCAAATGAATTAGACAAAACAAATTACAATATAATCTATTTAAATTTATTTAAATTGCAATCTGTTTAAAAATTAGAAATAATTTTTTAAAAATATTTTTATTTAAATAAATAATATAATATTTGAATAAATATTTATATAAAATTTTCGTACTATGAATTCAAAAAATGTCTGTACTGCGCAACTCTTGTGGAAATCTCTGCGTAAAACAAATTTAAAATTCCACTTACTTCTTCTAATATCCCTTTTGTCGATGTGCCAAGATGTTCATGAACCTGTGCGATAGTTTGCTCTTTGCTCGAAGATGTGTGAGTTGCTATAAAGTTGGAGAAGGCAGTCAGCGGTATGATTCCCTTATTTGAAAGAATTTCTAAAGAAATAGAATCAGATTCGGGCTCCAATGTAAGCAATTCCTGTACAGAGAATACAATATATATATAAGAGTACAAATAAACATTATTTTCAACTAAGCATAATTTGTATATATAAAAATTTTATTTGACACATACTTGATTCGAATCCAAAAAGAATAATTGCGATTTCCGTTGCCATTGACCAAATGAAGGATTGCGTTTTTCCTGTAGATGAGGTACAAAAGTAGCCGCCAATATGAAACTGGTATTCTCGATAAGGCACGTTTTCTTATAAACGGGTGTCGAGTTTTGTGGTGTAAATACATACACTAAAAGCAGATGAATTATATTTATATTAGGAAAATACATTATACAATTATATATAAATGTATTATACAATAGTAAGATGGATTAAGAGAAGTTTTCAAGATATAATTATTCTTTTAGTAATAAAATAAATACATAAAAAGCTTATATAATTGAAACATACCTGAATTATCAGATGTAAATGCTGCCATGTACGTGGATTTTGGGTCATACGTAAGACTTACAACATTCAAAGGTACACTCCACGTTATGGCGAGAGTTAAAATATTCCAAACAGTTATGTGTTGCTGAGATGCAACTACTACAAGGTGACAGGCTTCGTGTTTACCGAATTCTATTCGTCTGTCATAAACATTTTACAAAATTACAATATTACTTTTGTATTTATAGTTAAGATAATTGATGGATATGACAATATTTTACTATCTCTTAACTTACATTATTGGATGATTATATTGAGAATGTGTAAGACTGGATTTTAACTCGCAAGTTTCAGGTATCCATAAGGTTAGAGTAGAATGAAAAGCAATAGCTAATAAAGAACCATCCATTGAAAAACCAGCATCTGTAGTAGGTAGATTACGATAGTCTCCTACTCCATAACAATTCCAATGTTCTATAACAAATGTAATTATATCAAGTAGAGACATTGCTCAATTTTAATGAAGCTTACTTCGTTAAATAGCTAAATGTAAAATACTTTCTACAGTGGAGGATTTTCCTAGATTCCACAATTTAAATTTATTATCCTTCCCAGTTGTGACTGCTAACCATTCTCCATCGTCAAATGTTGTATTTGGTTGAAAATATAACGCATTTATTCCATTCTCATGAGGTAATTCAATGGATGTATTTAATATAAATCTAAAACAAATATTATATATTAATATCGTGATTATTTTGAATAAATACAGCAATCAATTTATGTAAAGTATTCTTACATCTGTTTGTTTAAATCATATATCCAAAATTTTAATCTAACTTCTATTGACGAAATTTTATCATTTCGTTCTTCGACTGTTGCCATCCACGTGCCATTGTAATTAAGAGCTATTTTTGTAACTTCTGTATTTACAATAATTACATCGCGTTCTTGGGTGAGAAAATTTTGTGCAGTTATATTAATCTGGAAAGTTTATAAATATTTTACCCTTTTCACTCGTTTTAATTTTATAGGTTTTTAATACATATAGTTTTAGTTTCAACATGCGATACATTTTACTCACATTATACAATAAAGTTTTTGTATGAGTATTGTAAAATTGTACGTGTCCAGTGCGGCTATTTAAAACGAGACTGCCTGTTCTCGGATCGACAATAAGTCCCGCGGGAAATAAGTCTTTGGATGATGAGGCAACACCCCACGTAAAGTTTTGTATTACTGACGTCAATTTTCTTTGAGGGTTTACAATAACAATACCTATTACAATCAAGATGTATGATCAATTGTAATAAATTCACTATTGTTAGGATAATTTATTATAACAAGCAATAGAACTTACCATTGTCTAAAGTAGATACAGCTACATATAAATTGTCAGGTGCAATAGTGAGATGTTTAATAGGCGCCGGTAATCGTGGAAGAAAGGACTTATGTTGTGGATTTGCTAGAGTCCATTTTACTAATACGCATTCCCCACCACCTGTATACATGTGTCCACCTGTAAAATAAGTAAATATATTTAATTAAATGTTAATTTACTAGTGTACCACATACACAGAAGATAATTTACATCTATATCTAAATTATCAATACATCTGTAACAATATATATATATATATATATATATTACCTGATTTACTAAATGCTATTTCCGTAACTGGCAATGTATGCCAATGAAACACAGCTGTATATGGTCTGGTTTGGAATAAATTTCTCCATACTACTACACGACCAGTAGAATCTCCTGTCGCAACACACTCTTCTTCCGGATGTCCCGCTATACAAGTAGGTAATCTACCTGTTTTGCCAGTCTTGTGTCTATATATTTATATTATATATTTAATGTGATATGTATATATTACTTGTCAATAATTTCACTATTAATTTGTTATAGATAATAATCTAAAAAAAAGGAGAAAATATCTTACAGTTTATCGACTAAATTTCTAGCTGGATTTAATATGTGTAAATCTGAATCATGTAAAAGCGCTATTAAATTCTCTCCACGATTTCCAATTATATCAATGTAATATTCTGATGAATCTGTGCTAAAAATATAGAAAATCAATTATAAATACTTGTATAAAATGTGAAAAAATTTGTACATGCAAAATTTTAGACAATAATTTATTCGATAAAAAGCGAAACAGAAAATTAAATTAAGAAATTTACTTACACAATGTTCATCGATTTCATACATGTTCCATTTTCTATATCAAATAAAAGTATATATATTTGGTTCCCACAATTGGAGAGACAAGTTATTAGTGCTTGAGATATCTCATTTCCTTGAGGCATCTTATATTTGGTAATGTGAAAAGTTTTAATCTTTACTTTGTTATCCGTCAGAGAGTTTAATTGCTGCAAAAGTACCAAAAAAGGTATACATTGTCAGTATTTCTTACAAACTCACAAATTTAAGTTTAATATTAAGATATGTAAAATCTTACCAATTTCTTGGTGATGATGCCACTTTGACAATTCCAAAAATCCAGCTCGCCGTTTTCCGTACAGCCGACAATGACATTGGGATTATCCGGGTGTATTATTATTCCAATAATTCTGTAATTCAAGGGCTCAAACTCCCGCACGAAATCTCCCGTCTGCGTACTGTACACCCTTATGACGTTCTTCCACACTATGAACAGAGTTCTGAGAAGATATTCTCGTGTTACGCGACACTAATATTTACCCTGTATATTTAATTCAAATTGATCGAAAGGTAAAGAAACTTACTCTCCATCACTGGAAAACAGTGGACGTTGATCAATTATACTTCCACCGCCTTTTCTCTTCACGATCAAATCGTCCTTATCAGAATGCACAAACTCCATTTTTCTTCTATATTACTAAATTATAAATTTTCGTCCTATTATAAAATACGTACGCACGTTTTTTTTTTTTTTAATTGAAGAGTGCCTTCAATTTGTCGAAATTATATTTTTTTTCCTTTCGTTCAAGAATATTTTTAATCTCTCGAAATTACAGCGTTCGCAACCACATTTCTGCACATTTTTCCATCTGTCTATCGAACTGCGTTCGAAAATCCAGTCGCATTCGATCAAAAAAATGTAAAGAAGAATAGATTTCCGAGCGCAAACCTACGCTACATTTTTATTGGCTGTCGCGAGAGTCATCACGTTGCCTATTGACCAATTCCAAATCAAGCTCTCTGATTGATCGAGTATCGCCAGTGTCCCTAAGCGCCGATCGATCCGATTGGCTGCGGCCATTTTTGCTTTAGAAGAATCGTGCGACCTTCTTGTTTCGAACTTCGTATTTCGTGATCGAAACGTTCGTTCCGTCCAGCCTCGTCAGCTGCCCACGGTTTGCGTGAATTTTCAGTTTGTCTTGTCAAGTTGCGCGCAAACGTTCGTCGGATATACGTATATATAAACGGGAAGAGTCGATCCCGATTTATTCCGATTTCTTCGACGACGTGATGAGATACATTCCGACTTTTCTCCGGCGTTCTTAACTGCACGAGTGTACGAGCGGTGTTGGATGACGATTTGGGAAGCGAGAACGTGTCAACGCGGTTTTTAACGATACAATGTCATTATTCAACAAGCCGAAGCGAAATATACGCCGACGTCCTTTCAACGATGAGGATGAAGATAATGAGAACAGAATGGATGTGGAGGACGCGCAGCCTGTCAAAGTTAAGACGAAGAAGAAGGATAAGCCAAAGCAGACGCTCCTCAGTTTCGGAGAGGAGCTGGAACAAGGTATATATAATATATAATTATATTGTACATTATAATACATAATTGTAGTATATAATTATTGTACATATGATCTGTTTCTGCTTTGAAAAAAATTATATATCTTATATGTGGAGAAAAATTTTGCAGGAGCGTCTTTGTAACAGGGACAGAGACGATACTATGATAATATATATATAGAGCTAGTAGATGCTGTCAAATCTATTATCAAATATTGTACAATAAACACATTTTGATAAAACATTGAAAATTGAAATAAATTGCAGGGGACGATGGAGAAGTTTTTATAGTGAAGAAATCGTCGAGGAGCAAAAAGCTAGCGAAACAGCTAGATCACGAGAGGAGGAAAAAGAAAGGTGAAGAGAAAATGCAAGCGGACACTGAGCAAGCGAATAAATCCATTAAGCAGGAAAAAGATTTAGAGATAAAGACAGATGATCTAGTAGTAAGCTATCTCTATGATGTTTTATTATTATTAGCATTTCTTCAATTTAAGTAACTTATCATTTAATATATAGAAGGTGTTTTTTACATCTCTCTTCCTAATATATTGACTAATGTTTCAAGATTTGGAACAACTGTGGGAGTACAGCGAGAAGACACATTTATAATTTAAATGTCATTTTTCACACAATGTGTTTTGTGTTTATAAATTACCACCTATATTGAAAGCATATTACTCGCAGATTTAAGTAATCTTTTTTTTTAAATTGTTAAATTTAGATAAATACATATATTTGTTCATTTTGATCACTTGAAATATTATATTACTCTCTACAATGTTTTTCTGTCTTATCGATTATATATTAGCAAAAAAGAAAACATATTCATGTTATAAAGATTTTGTTCCAAGTGCTCCTTGAATTATCTGATCTTGATTCTTTATTATCTATCTTGAGTGTCGATATGTTCACAATCTCATCTTGCAGTAAGCTGATTTTTATTATAAATTAACATAATTCTTGATGTGAATATTATTCTATCTTAAATTATGTTATTTTGCAATGTTAATGAAAATACACTTACATTAATTTCGGAATAATCTATATTAAAATTGTATTTTGCAAATCTCTTCTCTTTTCATAGAAAATATCTAACGTGTGATATATTTTGATAAATTTTGTGAATTTTATCCCTTATGTGGCATTGTGCATCTTTACTAAGTGATGAATAATTTTTATTGCTAGGTTAAAATAAAAAACACAGGACCCCTGATTTTGAACGGTCGTGCTGCATTGGCAGCAGGAAAGGATGACTATACATCGGATGAAGAGGAAGATGAGTCTTGCAGTCACAAATTTCGGAAAAATACAGATAAAGCTGAAACTGTTAAAATACTACTTGAAAGTATGTAATTTTTTATCATTTATATAAGTTACAGTCTTCTAAATATAAATATTTTTATGTCCATTTCTAGCATTTAAATTAAATGGAACATTTTATTGTTACATGCATATTTAACAATCCATATCTTTTAGATGAGGCTGAAATAGAAAAACAAGCATTTTGCTTTACATTTTGTTTTCAGATATTAAAACTAAATGGTATTATAAAAAATCAAACGTCATAAAATTATTGACAATTATTATTTTGATATAGTAAGGTATTTCTATATTTCTTCTATGATAACATTGTAACTGCTGTAATATTATTTAGGTGGATGTATACCTGATGCAGCTATGATCCATGCAGCAAGAAAGCGTAGACAGAAAGCAAGAGAATTGGGAACTGATTACATTCCTATTGAAGAACAGAGGTATATTTTCTTGTTAAAATTATTAAAAATTATTCAAATATAAATGGAATTAAATATAAATGGAAAATTAATATATACTTGCATTATATTAGTGATATATTTATTAATATCATTTGTAACAAATTCATATCTGCAGCGATGACAAGGGCAAGTCCAGATTAATACGAGAGGAAGATCACGATCGAAGTGACGATGACGATTCTCAAGACCGACTTGATATGACTGTCAATACAGAAGCACGTGATAAAGAAAAGAGAAGAGAAGCATTTCTTGCTTCTCAAGTTTCAGTAAAATGTGAGTCTTTAGTTATAATATTTATCTAAGCAATCGTCTCTCAGATAATAGATAATAGAATTTATGGAACGCGTTTTAATTTAGTTTCAGATAATGAAAGTGAGCACGAAAATGAAGAAGAAGAGTGGGAAGCTCAACAGATACGAAAGGGTGTAACCGGTGCTCAGGTAAAAGCACAATTTAGTACAAAATGCGCCGAGATTTAATATTAAAAAAATGTATACAAAATTTATACAAATTTGTTACGATCTGCAGATTGCAGCGGCACAGCAGGATTCTATGTTACAACAACAATATACGATGGGTATGAATGTTAATCAGATGATAGGATCTGGTGTATCTTTGGAAATGGTATTAATGCCCGCACCGCCACCACCTCCGTCCATTCAACCACCAGATCCGACAAAGATCGTACCTCTTACACCACAAGAAGTTGTGAACAGGATGCGCGCAAGGTTTTATATATTTTTATAAGATTAATATTATATAATTGTATATAGATGTATTTTAGGATTTATGTATAAAAAAGAGAAAGTTAAAATTTATAAAATCAGTATATTTAGAAAGCACACTATTCTTAAAGGTTGGACAATTTAAAAGAGGTGCATAGACAACATCAGCAAAATCAGGAACGTTTAGAAGAAGAATTACAACAAACTGTGAAAGAATTGGACGAGGGCGAAATTCGTACACCGCATTACGCACAACGCTTCAGATATTACCAAGAGTTGCGTGGGTATGTCACTGACTTGGTAGAGTGTCTTGATGAGAAGGTGGGTTGATACGCTGTCACGTTTGATTTATGTGCACTGGGGTTTATCGTACAGTATGTGCGGCTGGCAGAGATTCTCCAGCTCCAGTAAAGTATCAGCAATCTTAATTAATTTAATTTAAAATTTCATTGTCTCAGTTTATTAAAATCTCGCTATAAAACTACCTTATATTTATAAAAGAATTGGCCAAATCATATTTGATTTGACATAATAATGGAAAAATTATCATGCTTTCAACATGCTTACTATAACACACAATATGTATTTATTATACCATCATAAATTACATAAAGTATAGGAAAAATTTATAATCTTGCTTATCTGATATTATAATTTGGCTACAACAATTTAAAAGGTTCAAAGTATATTACTTGAAACACAATACTTGTTTAATTGTTCTTTCGACTTGCTCTAATAATTGCAGATCATTAATTCTCGAAAATAGATTGCGTAAATGTTATATCGTGCGTGTATTATCATTTTACTTTGAATTGAATTTAGATGAAGTCAAAATAAAAATGAGTTGGTATAATTTTTCATAATTTGTCTCGCGAACATTTTAGCATGAATAAAATAATGGAGTGATTCAATTTTCTCACGTAACTTTATTAGTGGCGCTAAATTAAAGGAGCTATGCATGTATGTAATATATTTCTATTGCCGGGGGTCATTATCTTCTCTGTATTATTATATTTTTTCACACAAAGATAAAATTTACTATAAGAACAATTAATATAAATTAATTTAATTGTGGTAAATAAATGAATATCTATCATAATTTTTGTCATTGTAATGTGTAAACAATACATAAACAATAATGAACGAGGTTTTTAAATAATTTATAAAATTGCTGATTAAGAAAAATAAAAAGAGTTAATATTTTTCAAATTTATTCATTTTTACGAAATCATTAAATGGAATATATTCACATTGTGAATTTACTTAAACACATAATTCTTTTGTTAGCTTCCTTTGGTTATTGAATTGGAGCAACACTGGTTAGATTTGTACGGTGAACGCTCGACCGAATTGATGGAACGGAGACGACAGGACACTAGGGATCAGGCGGAAGAAATAACTGCAGCAAGTAAGTAAACATTTTTCTACTAATCAATATACATACAATTGATAGAACTTGATACAATTATTTATTAATTCTTTCTTTTATTATTATATTCGATTTAAGACTCTTGGCTTTTCGCCGATCATGTTAGAATTATGACGTCAGAAGCGAGAAAATAAATGAGAAATAAATAAGAATTTTTAGCGTATGCTTTCTCGCCTCTGACGTCACAATCTGACATGGTCGCGGCGAGGACTCAGGAGTCTTAAGTCAACTTTTCATTTTCAAAAAATTTTACACAAAAATTCTACAATTTTTTTTTATTTATAGGAGGCCAAGCCATGAGAAGAGGACCGGAAGTAGAAGCTCATGTACGACGAGCTACAGAGAGAGAAGGTAGAAGAGCCCGTCGCAGAAGAGCGAGAGAATTAGCTTCAAATATGCCAAAACATATCGACGGCATGTCCAGTGACGATGAAGTTACTGAGCAACAAAATCTTGCATTTAAACAAACAAAAGGTAGATTTAGTAATAGGTTTTACAAAGTTGTGGGACTCTTCTGTTAAAGTTATTTTATTTACGTTTTTAACATTCTTATATTATAACTTTTTTCACTTTATTTCAGATGAAATTGATAACGATTGTAAAAATATACTTTCTGATGTCATGGAGGAATATTGTACAGTACGTGGTATACTTTCAAAATTCGAATCGTGGAGAGAGACTGACATAGATGCCTACACAGAAGCTTATGTGTCGTTATGCTTACCCAAGATTATTTCACCAATCATCAGATTACAATTAGTTACTTGGAATCCAATCATGGTAATTTATTTATTTTACTCGACAGAAAGTAACATTATTGATGTTTCTAATAAATTTTTTTTATTGTTCTCGTAGGAAAGCGCTGATGTAGAGAGGACCAAATGGTACAATACATTACTTCTATACGCTTTAGATAGTACAGAGACAGAGGATTCACTGAAACGAGATCCGGATGTTAGATTAATACCGTCTGCAATTGAAAAGATTGTAATACCAAAACTGACATGTAAGAATTATTCTTTTTATAATGCTACTATTTATGAAATCGCATGCGTTAAGAATAAAATAATTCTATTTTTATATAATTAATATTTTATAATTTTTAGCTATTATTGAAAAAATATGGGATCCAATGTCAACATCTCAAACGTTACGTCTTGTAGGAGCTATAAATCGTTTCATCAAGGAATATCCGAATTTAAATGATACTAGCAAACAATTGGAAATTCTATTTAATGCTATTTTAGATAAAATTAAGGCTGCTGTTGAGAACGATGTTTTTATACCAATTTTTCCAAAACAGTCAGTATATTATATATATATGTATTAAGTTATTGTTAATATTTTTCATAATTATATCTTTTTACTAACTCACACAAATTGCTATTCTAGAGTTTTGGATACAAAACATCAATTTTTCCAAAGACAATTTGCAATGGCTGTCAAGTTACTGCGCAATTTACTAAGTTGGCAAGGTCTTCTTGGAGATATGCAGTTAAAAAACTTGGCGTTAGGTTCACTTTTGAATCGTTATCTTTTGGCCGGATTACGAGTTTCTTGTCCAACTGATGCTTTATTTAAAGCAAACATGGTAATATGTTTAACATATGTATATATATTTAAAATAAATTAAATATATATAAAATTACGAATTATTTTATGTTAAACGATAGTTCTTACATATTAATACTTTATATGTCAATTCTAATGAATAAAATTTATCAATGAATATAGATTATGAATACTCTACCAAGAGCGTGGTTACAAGGGGAAACTATAGAACATCTCCGAATGTTTGCCGCCCTTATTCAACAGCTTAGCGAACAGTTGGATCAAGCAAATCCTGCACATAAGTAAGTATTTATTAATAATATTTTTCTGCGATTGACGACGTAGTTTTTCGTGTTACGAATCGCCTAGAATATAGCGTCTAAAGCAAGGTTCGCATTGTTGCAGTGAAGCCTGGGAATACGCCAAGTCCATCTTGAAAATAATTAAGCCATCATAATACTTTAATTATATTATATATGTGTCGGTAATGTTTTGTCGAATTTCTTGCTTTAGACCATTAATAATATGCTTGTTAATAGTTTTATACATATAATACAAGCAAAATCTTGTACACATGATGCATTGAAGTACATTTTCAAATGTATAATATATGAGGAGCAATTTTGTATAGTAATAAACTAAATGAGAGATAATTTAATGACATGATACACATTTCCCAAGTATGATTGTACATAAGAGATAAGTGGAAAATAAATTTGTAAATAGTATTTAAGGATTAAAGTGTTACCTTTAAGAAATTATCTCGCATTCATCATAATTAGAATAAATTAAAAGAACTGTGGATGCTTGCATATTAATAAAATTAATATATATTAATATTATAAAATAACAATAAATATCTGCATACATTTGTGTATGCATATATTTTTATCATGTAACTGGTTAAAACATATATTTTTATTATAAAATTCTTTATAGAACAAATACTTTAATTCTAAAAGCTATAATTTAATCAATTTCATAATATATGTATATAAAAATGATATATTATTTGAACGAATTAATCACACTTAAACGCGCACATTTCATTTTTTTCTGAATATAAAATAAAGAAGAAAGAAGTTGCTAAATATTTCTATAGTCTCAGAAAAATATTTTACTTTTTGGACATATTTTGAACTTTTATGTTACTTGAATTAATTATATAAAATATAAATTACTTCTGCGCAAAGTAATCTATATAAATAAAATATTATATGTAAATAAGATGTAGATATATATTTTCTATGTTTTTTTGTGTTGTACGAGAGAAAGAAAAAAGACCATAATATATAATACGATAATATATAATATTCATGCGAGACACATATCCAATATGATTGGAGATAATATATGGCAGTGTGGTTTATATTTACATACACGCGAATAAACGTGTGTATTCGTAGGTCACAATGATAAGAACTGGTAAGGGTCAATCTTTAACTTGCATGAAGTCAGTTTACTTTTGAACGACTACGATCAACTGCATCATGCGATTCACGGGTATACGTTTATATTATTTTTTATATATTAATTTTGTATATTTATATATTACAGTGTTTTCTTTAAAAACAACAAGAAATGATCGAAATCTAATATATCATTGCAAGCGAAATATACTTGTTAAAATTTTAATAATGTATTAATATAGAAAAATGTCACAATAATCTACGCATTCTTCTCCATATGTTAATTTATATTGTTGTTAATTAATTTTTGTGATAGCGTGCGTTCTTTAGCGAAGAACAAGAAGTGTGATTTTTTTAAATAGATGTGCAAGAGTGAAGATGAAATGTGAAGAAGAAAGTCTTGTTTTTCAGATCCTAATTTTATATCAAGACTAGAGCAAGGAATAGGAAGAACGCTATTCATACTCCTATTTTTAAGCAATGGAAATGTCGCGCAGAGTTTATTTAGATCCGGTAAAGAATATACATATTCTTACAACGCAACGTCGAGTACTGGAGTGTTGGTGCCCTACAATGCAGCTTCCTCGTGGAACCTCAACGGCGAGCTCGTGATACAGGCGGAAGATGACTTTGTCACAATACAGGTAGAACAAAATTTTAACATATAATTTTGTCTACACTTATTTTTTTCCACTTACAAGAACTATATTATTATATTAAGATTTATTTAAAGGCCTTAACGAGCAAAGTAATATAAAATAACTTTGTTACAAAGCTGTTACAATTAATATCGCGAATTACAACATCAGATTGACATATTAATTAAATTACGTGAGACGTTTCGACACTAACTTGTGTCTCTTCAGTCGCTTTCTCTTCAAATTCAAATATATAGTGTTCTGTTTAAAAATTTTTGAGATGTGTAAGTATTTATCACTAAAGAGTCGTGGTAATTAAGTAGTACCTGTGGTAGTACCTGGTAGTTCCATTGGAAATTCCTTCTTCCGTTTGATGTCCATGATTTAAAATGTATTTTATGTGTGTTCCTCTATATATTTAAACTTATTTATTACAGTTTTGATCCTTTGTTTTGATGTAGATAATATAGAGGAACTGTTAATTCTGATAGCTTTTATCCATTATAAGTTAAATATGTGTGTGTGTGGGTCATACAATACATCGTGTAGAGTGTAGGTCATGTTCAAGCGACAAAACAAACAAATTATGATTTATTATTTATCATTTTTAATAACGGCAAATATAACTTATTAAGATATTCACTGTTTTCGTTGGCGTTTAAACCGTTTTTTACACAATACTAAATAGACTAGGATAGTGTTGTTAAAATATTAGACTTTGAAACTAATTATTTTAAGAGGCTAATCTCAGAAGCCATATATATAAATTAACAAAAAACTGATTTAAACGCTAACGAAGACAGTGAATATCTTGACAAGTCATATTTGCTGTTATTAAAAATGATTAATATATAATATGTAATAATATATAATATATAATAAATATATAATATATATTATATTTATTATATATTATATATAATAGATTTTTATATAATAATAATGTACAATATTTATACACACATATATATAATATATATATATATATATATATATATGGTTTTTAATTATTTTATCATATGTGTATGTAATTTGATGTAATATATCCCAAATATTTTTTTCTTATTAGCTGCAATCGTTGAAGATGAGAATGTGGAATGGGAATGCAAACGAGCTGAGCGAAAATATTGATATTCACGATAATGCTGCAGAACTTTTGAAGCCTTTCCGAGTATCGTACAACAAAGGACTTATCGAGAACTTTAGCGTCGAAACGGAAGAGATATGGGCGACGAATATAAAACGTAGTATAGTTGGAATTTTACAATTGGATCTTCTTAATTTGGAGAAGGAAGTTGCGTTTCATTCTAGTGAGGTAAGTCTTTAGCGTTTGAATAAAAACGTGCATACAGACGTATATTGTATAATGACTGTGAACATTAATTAATTATTCATAACATACACGTGCACGAGAATATAATATTAATATATATGTGTTTAACAAAAATATAATTTGCAGATTAACCATTATGGAAGGTGTAATATCGATTATGTTGTAAGTCCGGAAGGAGTTACTCAGCGTTTGATTAGGAAATCGTTCGATCCTCGGATGTGTACTGGACATCCGTCTTATAGTTGGTCCAATGTTCCTAAAATACAGTGTACTGATGAAGATCAGGTATGCTACTATATTGAAATATTCCATTTATATATTTGATTTGACGTAAGTAAAGAGTTTATTAAATTATATTATAGTATATAGTATATATAGAATGTTGAAAAAAGGTCAAATAATTTAAGGGGATTTAGTATGCTTCAAAATAAATTTGTCTTAATGAATATAGATAAATACCATTTTTTAAGATATTTGCAATATTTTATATAATGTAATTTAATTTACCTGCATTTACATGAATAAATAAAATAATTTAAAACAAAAAATAAAAATTATAAAAATAAATATATAAAAAATAAAAATATATCAAAAACAGTTTATATATAAATTAATACAAATTGTCGCTCGTATATTGAAAACAAAGTGATAAAAATAAGGCCAACTTATCGAGCTGAATATTCGAGATGTTCAGTCAACTACCATTTATTACATGTATAAATTATGAAACTACAGTCATTATATTAAAACTAACGCAAATTACAATCATTCTATAAACGTTTCGACCGCACGCGGTCTTCTTCAGTATAATTATTGAAATATAAATTCATACAAATTCACATAATATCGAAATTTAATTATAGTTATTCAGAATCGAGTTTTTGAGCAATTAACGCGTGTTCTAATCCGTCCTGTCCAACAATGTTCGCCTCGATATGATCTCTGATTTTGTTCAGATCTCAGGATAGTTTCATTGTTAATATGCGAGAAATTAACCCGTTCCGTAGGCGCTGCGATTAATAAAAAATTACCGATCAACGTATGTCCAAATTATAATATATATCCCCTACAATTGGTAGTATGCTTACATAAGATTTGCCTACATAAGATGCAATTCGAATGTGGTTTATAAGATCAGTTGCAATAATTGTAATGCATCTTATGTAGGCCAAACAAAGAGGCAATTGCAGACGCGAATAAAAGAACATAAAAATAATATTAGGTTGGACTCAACGAAACATTCAGTAATTTCTGAACACATAAGAAATGAACATCATACTTTTAATTGGGACAATGTTAAGATCATGGACAACGAAAATAATTATTATAAAAGACTCATTTCTGAGATGCTACATATCAAGGAACAAAAAAATGGACTAAATTTAAACAAAGATACTGAGTTACTTAGCGAGTCGTATTTTGATATTTTGGATATATTAGCGAACAATAAATAATAATAGGACAAATAGGACATTAACGAGTCAAACATAGATATTAGATCATATATAAACACGCACGCTCTCCGATCAAGTAGAGTTTAAAATGAGCTGTCTTTCTGTTGGTTTGTTATGTGTCATCCTTAATAACTGTTAATAAGTGGCAAAATTGTCAAGAAGGACGATGATAGGTAAGCATACTACCAATTGTAGGGGATATATATTATAATTTGGACATACGTTGATCGGTAATTTTTTATTAATCGCAGCGCCTACGGAACGGGTTAATTTCTCGCATATTAACGATGAAACTATCCGAGATCTGAACAAAATCAGAGATCATATCGAGGCGAACATTGTTGGACAGGACGGATTAGAACACGCGTTAATTGCTCAAAAACTCGATTCTGAATAACTATAATTAAATTTCGATATTATGTGAATTTGTATGAATTTATATTTCAATAATTATACTGAAGAAGACCGCGTGCGGTCGAAACGTTTATAGAATGATTGTAATTTGCGTTAGTTTTAATATAATGACTGTAGTTTCATAATTTATACATGTAATAAATGGTAGTTGACTGAACATCTCGAATATTCAGCTCGATAAGTTGGCCTTATTTTTATCAGTTTATATATATATATGCGGACTCAAATGTTTATTAAGATTTTTCGACTTGTTTTTGGGTATTATTAAATCTGCTTAATATTAAAATATTTTATTCTTTTCTTTCAATATCTTCTATAAAATATTCGGTCAAAAAAATGGAAAAATAAAAAATTGTGAGACTTTAAATTACCTTATAAGGCAACTAATAATTATGATATCAACATGTTTTCAGAGAAAACAAAAATTAAGCTTTTGAAATCTGTATTTTGAGAAAATTTTAATTTAATGTTGATTACGTAGAATGATCAGTTTTTCAGTTATCAGATGACAAAGTAAAATTCTGCAAACTTGATTAATAGAAAGTCCACGTTCCTACTTGCATGAAGTAGATAAATTGACGTTATTTCAATGAGATAAAAACGCATGCAAGTTTAAACTTTATCCTTTGAAATGCGCTTTAGCGGAAGTTGATAATTTTAATTTTTCTGAGTTATGTCAATATGAAGAAAGAAGGTTTTTTAAACAATTGTGTAATCAATGCTCTTATTTCTACTTGCTCTATCTCATTCTACGCTCTTTCAAGAACTTCTCGAACTCTTCGAGACATCTTGCACCGGTTCAAATTGATAATGGTGACAAACACTTTAATTATCATAATTTATCGTATCAACTTCCGCAAAAGCATTTTAAAGAGAAAAAAGTTTAATCTCTTTATCCCTTCATGAGCTACATCAACATTTACTCTGCAACTCAGGAAATTGGATTTTCTATTAATCAATTTTGCAGGCTCTCACGGTATCATTCGCCATTAGAAAACTGATTATCTCATGTAATTAGAAATTTTTCTCAAAATACAGACTTCAAACTTTATTTTTGTTTTCGAAATATCTCGATATTATAATTATGATTTCCCAGATAGCACAAGCTATTCAAAAAAAAATTCATTTGTATGTCACCAATTTTGAGTCCCTTTTCAAATACATGTAGAATTTATTTTATAAAATATTCATTTTTATCAAATGAATTCTATATGTATTTGAAAAGGGACTCAAAATTGGTGACATACTGGTGACATACAAATAAATTCTTTTCGAATAGCTTGTGCTATCTGGGTTGCGTTATAAATATTCAAAGTTTTACAATTTTTTTCTATATTTCCATTGTATTGCTTTGTTTACGAGTGTACATATGTTATATATTCATAATATAAAACTTTTAGAATCCTGTCCTGAAAGGTAGCGAAAGAATATATAAATTGAAAACCGATGGACACATTCACGATGTTCTTTTCGTTAACACAGTCGGGAATATCTATGTACAACCCTTTCAAAGTATGGGAGAGGCGCATTATCATTTGGTTCAGTATGTTTCCTAAATGTATAGTTATATTATTTAGTATTTATTATTTTAAAAAGTAGAAGTATAAAGTAATAAATCTTTACATCATCATAAGAGATATTACGATTATATTTGAATTAATACTCGTACTATGGCATCTCTTTAGAAATAAATTATTATAATTATCACTTTTTAATCTATGTGCCAACGAAATAACATTGTTTTATTTTATATAGGCAAACTATTGAATTATCTTCAGTGAAAAATATAACGAATAAGATAGCTACGAATAATTTACAAAGTACTGTTCTTCAACATGAGCTACCTGAAGCAGATCTCACACAAGGCAGAAGTACTCCGGAGAAAAGTTTTATTTTTAAATCTGTAAGTTTATACATATACATATTTTTTATTCTTTTTTTTTTGTTTTGCTCTTTAATTACAATGAAAGCTCTATCAATTTTGTTACAGATAAGTCGATTATTGGATCGTTTGAGTCAAAGGCTCGAAAATCCCGGTTTGGATACCGAGATCCATAATCTACACAATACAACGATATCCGTACTTATCTATTATCTCGATATGTTAGATCGCGTTGATTTGGAAAAAGCCTATAATCGCATTTCGGGAACTAGCTATAAAGAGGAAACGCTACGGTATCTACTTTGATTATTAATTATTAAAATTATTAGTTATCTATTGCAAATCTTGATAATAAATTATATAAATTTTAAATTATTAATTATTAAATAATATTAAATTGTTACTTTATTCTAGGAATATGTTTCTCGAGATACTGCCGCACATTGGGAGTAAAGAATCCGCTCTCTTCATACTAGACCTTATTCAGGGGAATAAGGTATCCGATATATCCGCGATTCAGCTTCTCATGCGGTTACCATTTCACTTGAGAAGACCGGACGCCGAATTGCTAGACAATCTACGACCACTTCTTACGTTGCCGAGCAAGATCTCCGCGGAAGTTCAAAACACCGCGATCCTTACATACGGAACGCTGATATACAAAACCTGTTTGAAGCCTTGTTCGTACGACGTTTTGGATTTGTACGTGCGTTTTTATCTCGACAAATTCACAGGTATATGCAGTGTGCTAAAACAATCGAATATTTATTAATATCAGATACAAATTTGATATTAAGTGTAAATTAAATATAATTATATATAACTAAATTAAATATAAATCGTTATACAAATAACGCTTTATATACAAAATATACATGTATCAAAGTTTCCACATTGTCCAAAACTATATTATATTCTATTCGTGTTGCAGAAAGTACTCGATACGAGCAAAAGATGGTCTGGCTGCAAGGCTTGGCGAATATACAGCTTGGTAAAGTCGTTAAGTTTCTAGAGCCAATAGCTAGTGGTAGCAATATCGAATTGCGGCATTTTCGGGCACTTGCAGCTTGGGCCTCTATTTCTACAGCACCGTTGAGACCTGACGTGGTGAGTGATTTTTAGTTAAGATTCTTGGATCCTTACCACGGCCCACGTTAGATTGTGACGTCAGAGGCGAGAACGCACACACTCAAAATTTTTAGATGCCATTTTCAAATGAAAATATATTTTGATGAAATATTTTCTACTTCAGATGGCTTGAGCACACTCTTTTAAAATATCTCGAAAACTATTCTTCCTCTGATGTCACAATTACAACATTGTCGAAACGAGGAGCCAGGATTCGAGTCTTAAATAATTTAATAGTGTATATTTTACGTATCAGAATCAAACACGTACTTATTCATCACCATGACATGTTTGATTATATGTAGCAATATATTCTGTTCAGATTTATCCTGTGTATTGGCCGATTTTGGTCAACAGAACCGAGCATTTGGAGATAAGAATCGCTGCATTAACTTTGCTCATTGTATCCAATCCTACACCTAATAGATTAATATCTCTGTACTGGCACATGCAAAATGAGCCTGACCAGCACTTGTACAATTATTTTTATACAATGTTAAAATCTATGGAACATACCACGGATCCTTGTTACAAGCGCATGTAAATATGTACAATCTTATTAATCATAAGTAAAAAAACAAGCAGTAATGTTGTTTGAAATAATTTCTATATAATTTTGTGTTTTTAAATTTATATTATTATATTTGATTTTTAATTATTATTTAGATTATTATTTATATTATTTTTTATATCTTTAAATTTATATTATATTATTTGTACTATATCTAAACAGTATAATTTATATTGTTCAAGTGTATGACGTTCTTATTTTTTATTAATCTATTTAACATGTCATGCATTTATTCAGACATTTTTACATCTAATTTTAATCATTAATTATTACTATATATTTGCAGAAGCAGAATCGCGGCGCAATTCAGCCGCATCCTTCGAAAACCTAATAACGAGTATCTTATTACCGGTAACTATTTGATTGATTATCAAGATTCGGTGAGAAGATTTGGCGCCATGTTACAGGGTATTATTGTAGCCAATCCTTCTACGAATATTCCTGAAGTAATTTACATAACTCTAAATAATTATGCCAGTGGAACGCAGATTAACCAATTATCTGTAAGTACACTTTTCAAAATTACGAAAGTTTACTTGATCTGTGCGATGCGAATATTAATAAATTTAATTATCATTTTTTTTTTTACAAAACGAAGTTATACATCAAAGCGGAAGGCGTTTTCCACTCATTGGCGGCAAATTCCTTCGACAATCCTGCAAACATAAAAGATATTCTCACACAGTTCAAATTGGATGAACGGAGGAAAAATCCCGCGCATTTGGAAATAATTGCGCGTATTCAAGAAAAAACAGTGATGTGCATTTACTGGAATGAGACGAAGATAGTTGAGGGATTGAAGTGTGAGAAATGGAAAAATTTTAAGAAAACTCAAACACAGTTATAATAAAATGCTATTATTTTATTCGTGTAATTTTTCAGATTTTTCTTCTTTATGGAATGATATTTATTATCTGTATTATAATATGGAATTCCATATCAATCAACAACGTATAAATGTGCCATTGAAAATAGAATCGATACAAGTGACCGATCTTGGTACCAACGTTAGACTCGCGATGATGGCAACGACTTTGTTTTCAATGAGAGGAAATTTTACCCGCGATTTTCCTACACGAAATAATCACGTTATTTTACGGTAAGGACATAGATTTTATATATTTATCTACAAAATTTTACTTTATATAATTACATATATTTGAATCTTTTTTTTAAGTTTTTTTTAAATATTCTAGAAACTATTGTGTGAAATGTGGCTTTATGTATGAATTTATCTGTTTTTTTTTTTTTAGTACATCTGTTCACAGTATCGAAGCGATAGAGAATTACAATCCGTTGGCTGATTTGTGGCATAGTGCTGAAAGGCTTCAGTCGTTACATGGATATTTTCCTTTTAATATTACAATTGGATTAGAAGAACGACCATATATTTCATACAATACTTTAGGAGGTATAAATCCCATTATATATTTTAATAAGCTAAAAATCTGCGATTTTTATGACTTGTATGTAAATCATTATAAGTCTTCTTAAACAGTAAAATTTCACATATTTTAGATTTTAAAAGTATTTAAGATTTTACAAACGTGTTCTGATTTATTTTCCTCGTTTTCATAATCTTAAAATTAATATATTACAGAACATATTAAGACAGGAATTACAGCACACGTTAAAACAGTTACAAGCATTAGAGGTGCGAATGTTAAATCAAAGTTGGAACGAACTTGTCGTTTGTGTCCTGTATCGTATACGGTGAAATCGCCTAATTCTAATTTACAAGTAAATATCACTTTTTGAATTTGGTATATTTTTTAATAATTTTTAAATTTACAAATGTTTATACATTATTTTATTATAGTGTTTGTATTAGTGTTAATGAATATAATCTTTTCACCTTTTTTCTTTTTTCTCTATAGACAATGAATATTCTCAACGTTGAACTTCCTGAATTAGGTGGTCGGCTAAAAGCGAAAATATTTGATTGCGAAAAAATAATGATGCACGAAACTAATGATGCACTGATTAATGTTATTTTGTCTTCTCATCAAAGTAATTATCAGTAAGTAATATATTTATGTATTTTTATTTTTATATTTATATTTACTATATTAATTTACTATATATTAATAAAATGACATAATTTTAGCATAAATAATAAAATTTTTATATAATAAAATATTTTAATTTAATCTGATACATTGTGAAATGAATTTTAAATCAATTACGTTAATTTCCTTGATTACATAGAACCTGGCCAAGTACGAAATTTGTTTTACTCGGACTACACTTGTTGGATTACCTCACTTACATGCCACCAAGTGGTAGCTGTGGATTAGCTGCTTATATCGAGACAGTTAAATCAACACCATCACAGGTTACTTATTATAATTAATAATAAAATAAAAAATTTAATTTATATTAATAATTATATTTATTATATATCTTTTATATTGAATTATATATATATATAAAATTTATTTATATACATTTTTTACATATATTTATATAACTTATATATATATATATATA